TTACTCAATTACAGGTGTTCTTGCTCAAAAATACATTGAAGGACATGTATTCTTACAGTGAACAGGTTCACGTCTCCACAAAGCTGTAACTTGACTTAGTGGCATCAGCTGCTTAGATCAATGAATATAGGTGCCATAGTGGGTGATTTCTGACAAAGTAAGAACATCTCCATGGAGACAAGCAGGTGGCAAACCATCCTACAGAAAAGTTACATAGTGAACCATTAATGTTACATTGCTTATTTGGTTGATTAAGTTGAGTTTAAATAGTCTGATCTGTGACGTAAGCAGCAGGTGAATTCTGGTGCTTCTCACAGTCGTTAACTCAGGCGCTGACTGAGCAGGTGCAGAGGAGAGGGATGCTCTGCCATCTTTGTTGCTGTTTTTGCATGGCTTCCCTCGTTTCCCTCAACTGGAGTTTGTACAAAAAAGAGTCACAGGTGTGGAAAATCAGGCCATCAAAATGTGCGCAGTTAAGCTGTGAAATCCCACTGGTTCAAGTTATAATGTTTTCAACTTTAATAACACAAAATTGCATCATATCAAGTCCAACTTCTGGGAATAGGGCTTGGAGTTGCCATCATATCATCAGATTTTTACCTATAAGGTCAACTGAGTGGGTGAGAAGTAAAACATCTTTGTTTGCTTGGCCACATCAGCATACAGCCCAGGGCTGTTTGGGTTGGGTTTGGAAGAGAGTCTATAACACTATAAAAAGTGCTTACCATTCTAAGGTGTATTGTCAGCACTATAGATCAGACTGGTCACACTCAACAAATTTTGTGCTAGAATTACAAATTCACAGTTGTAAATTAGGATTAAACAATGAAAAATACTTAAGAAGAAAGGGCATCTGGTGCAAAACCTGTAAAAAAATATATCAATTGGAGCCTTGCTGTGACAACAACTAGATGTGAATGAAGCTTCTACTTACGACATGGACACTGTATTGAAAACTGTTGATTTGACAAATTGATCTCATCCAATCGCAGAAACAGCTCTTGTTGTTTCTTTAGGTAAAGCACTTCACCCACATATGAATGTAATATGTGTGGGTGAGTGCTGGTTGTTGAAGGGTCAGTAGTGCAGCTTGGCAGCCTCGCTTCTGTCAGTCTGCCCCAGGGCAGCTGTAACTATAATAGCATCTTACCACCACCAAGAACCGATTGAATGAGTAATGCACAAAATTCTAAAGCAATTGTGATCATTTGGTAAAGAGCTATATAAGACTAATGCATTATTATTACAAAATTTGAACACTGAATTTATTGTCTATAATAAACTACACAATACACACATAAAAAAGAACAGATTAAAATAAAGACAATTATAATTTTATAAACATGGTTAAAAAGTGATATTGCTGTACTGTTGAGATACATTTTTCAGTGCCCTCTGCCGAGCATTCGTACACACCATCCCCATATACTCACAGTGATCTGCCAACTGTCAACAGACAGTCACCTCCGAAACTGTCACAGTGAATGGTATTTAAGTGTCCATTTTGGAGCCATCTCCCTGGTGGTAGAACATCTACAGTCTCATTTGTCATCAGTGACAGAGAAGTCCCTGTATTTTACTATGTTGCATCTTCTTTTGTAGCTCTGCTATGCTCTTGTACTGGTCTTATTTTTTCTTTCATTTTGTAAATGACCCTTTCAAGCATTTATAAATTTGGCAAGCTTTTGTTTCAAGTTCACCATGTCTGTTGTAGTTATGTAGTACTGACATCAGACCTCCTCATATGCTTCAATCTGTTTATTTAACTTCACTCTTTTGGAGCTCCATCTGGGTATTTAACCTCAGTGTAGAGACTTGCTGATCTTGGTGTCTGAGTTGAGTTTTCACTCTCTCCAGCTGCTTGTGGAACAGCTTGTGTGGGGAAAACTGACAATGGGGAATACCTAATTGACAGTTCCAGTTAATTGGTAGTAGTTTATTTTTTTTGTCTGTCTTTCATGTGTTTAAATGTGCCTGTTGAGGTGGAAGATTTAAGCACATTAATGACAGATTGCAAAATAATAAAATAATAATACTAATAATCTAAAATCTGCTTCATATTTTCCTGTATACTATGTAGTTTCAAGATGAAAGAAATGTATATATGAAATATGCTCATAGTTTATCAAGCGTGACTTTGGAATCCCTGGAGTTATAAAAGAGAGCATCACAGTCTGAAACATGTCTTCTGCAGAGGTCATGTGACTCCAGAACTGGAATTTTAATTTATATTTTTTGTCTATTGGAACAGTTAGCAAGTTTAATAGTTTATTAGTTAGTCTCACTTGTTATCCAATAGTGTACACTAAATTACTTTTTATAGAACACAAATCAGTTTTCAATTTGTCAAAGTACAACATCTCATCCTTATCAAATAGATAACCCCATATCATGTCAATCACTATTTCATCTTTGCACTTTCTCTTTACCCACCTCTTACTATTTTTGCTACTTATTTTTAATGTATTATTATTTTATACTCTTTGGTCTTTTCTCTTATAATATATAAATTAGCTACTGTGCCCAAATAATTTCCCATAATCAATAAAGTTTGTCTAGTTAAGTATAAGCCTAAGAACATAGAAAATGAAATGATGACAAATCTACCATGGATAACAGCTCATTTGCCAACATTCTATAGACGTAAAAGTTTAAAGAAGAGTGAGGTTGTATCCGCTGTTAATACATTAGAGTTAAGTATCATGTGGACTGAGGGTGAGCCGGTGGGAGGGGCCGGTGTGAAGAAGGAGTTAACTGTATAAAGGGGAAAGATAAACACATTACTGCCTCTCTAGTCGCCGCAAGTAACATAATGAACTCCTAATCGCAGCTGAGGGCGTCGTTCATCTATGAAATCAGCAGCAAATTGAGATGAGCCAAATCACTCTCTGATCCATCCTGTGTAGTCGCTTAGCAGGAAGGATATTGAGCGGCTTCCCTCTGAAAAGGTTAGAGTAACGCAGCATCGATGTTCTGCCAGTGCGTGGAACCTATGCGTGCTCCATGTTTGGTACACACTGCATCTATAAGTGCACACAGGGCCCGCCCATCTACGCATCTGTATTCAGCTCATCAGTGCCCTGATAAGCAGCAAACATAGTCCAAAGGTTCCAAATGTCACGCACTCAATCACTTCCAATGCAACTGTCAAGTGTAGCGTTGATTGCAGCTGTTGATCAATCAGCCTTTGTCGTAATAGTCTTGTTTACACAGGTTTTAGACATCTTCAATAGCCTAGTTATTTTACATAAGCTATTACTTAAAAGTGTGCTAACATTTCTGGAGGAGGATACGCCACCTGCATGTTATTGCATTGCTAAGAATGCTTCACAGTATGGAATTAAAAAGATCTATCACACCTTTTTTTCATTACCGGTGAGTGGGCTTGTCTTTCCACAGACAATTGGTCACTGGTAAAGCTGCTGGTTTTCAGATGGGCGTGACTGACAGGTGCATTAGCCAATCAGGTACATGCATGGAGGGAGGAAGAAAATAAAAATATCATAGGAGGCTGAAAAACATCACAGATTTCTGCAGAATCAATGAGTAAAGCACTAAACTCTGTTAATCTGAGATGAGAGAAATCTGATTTTATTTGAAAATTGATATGTGACCAATAACCTCCTTCATTTCACACGCGTCACTGAAAAAAACTGAATCTGGGTGGACAATCACATTTGACCAGGCTTGGAGACACAATGGAGGATGTGGGGTCAGACTGTATAAAAATACAAAGAGATATTCTAGACTTACCAGGCAATCATACTGTGGAACATTCTAAGAAAATCTATAACATCTCCATGCATGTGACAGACCCATCAGAACTGTTACATAGCACACATTTAAGTATAACCTTAAAAAGAGCATTTATTTGATGGGTTTTACTTGAATTTTTATAACCATTCAAGGTATATCAAATATAGAGATTATTGTGAAATCATTTGAAACTGTTTGTGTGATGAAAGTTCTTTCTCCTTTAAGTTTTGAGTAACGGTAAATATAGAGGTGGAACTAACTTTCTATATTTTATGAAGTTGTACTATGGGTTTCACACTGTATCCCCCTTGCTAAAAAAAACAAGCCACTTGTGTCTGTAGTAACCCTTAGGCTAAGAGTTGAGATAATGGAATTTGGAGCTGCTTTCACCCCCAACCATGACAGTTCCCCGGCACTGCAGGATCCTGGTACTTAGCATCAAGCTCCTCTGGCTTTCAACGACTATTTCTGACTGTGTATGTGGTGTCTCTGCACATCTCATTGAACAGGCAAAAAACAAACAAAGGAAAATGATCCCATGACTTATACAGGGACTGAAAGTGCTCACCTTCTGTTTTCATTTTGGCTGCACAAATACCATTCAGACTGTGTTTGGACTAGATTAAAAAGGAGCAAAACTAATGAAAAGTGGTTCAGTACTGTGAAAAGGTCTCATTTTGAATAGGTTAAGAATATTAAATGATTTTGTGTAAGCTCAGTGAGAAATATATAACTTCTTTTAGCTGAGATAAGGTAAGGAAGTAAGATAAGGAAGTAATATTTTGATGCTTCATTTGTTGATTCTGCCACAATCTGCACTTTTTCTCAGTCTTTATCTTGATTTTTCCCTCTTTTTTTTTTTTTTTTACATGTAAACTGCTGTTTGTTTTTGACATGAACAGATCATGCTTCTCTCTGATTGGTTAATCAGCCTGTCATTCAAGTCCTCTGAAATCAGGGAGACATGATACAGCTTCAAATCCACTCATCTTCAAAGTTCTGTCAAAGCATGTGGTTCTGGCTGGCCAGGTAAATAAGTTGTATATCACACAATCGTACAGATTTTTTTTTCTTCAGTTAGTGAGTGTAGTTAGTTGCGTCTGTATCTCAAATTGGGATGATCCCTTAATTCACTACTGAATATTCCAAATTTAGCCCAAAGGATTCTTTACATTTTCATGAAAAAAAAAAAAGATCACAAAATTAATTATTGTCACTTTTTGTCCTATATTCAAAAGACTTACCTTCTCTGCAGACTGAGCTGTGCCGAAGAAGATGGGGATGAAAGCCAGCCAGACGATGCAGGTTGTGTACATGGTGAATCCAATAGGTTTTGCCTCATTGAAGTCCTCCGGTACGTCCCTCGTCTTGATGGCGTATATGGTGCATGTGACCATAAGCAGAATGCTATAGCCTAAAGAGCAGATGATCTGGAGGTCTGTGATGTCACATTTGAGTACACCGCGAGCCAGCATCGGGTTTATAGTTTTCTGTTCATCATAGTCTATTATAGTGTTGGGAGGGTCCACAGCAAACCACACCAGGACGCCTAAAAGTTGCACACATATGAGGCTAGAAGTGATGGCAATTTGTGACGTAGGGCTAATAAATCTTGGAGCTGTAACTGTCTGCTTTCCTTGTTCAAAAATTCTATAGATACGATTAGTTTTGGTGAGCAGAGCAGCATAACTTATGCACATCCCCAACCCTAAAAAGATCCTTCTAAACGCACACACGCCAACGTCTGGTTTTGCAATCATGAGGAAAGTGATGATGTAGCACAAAAAGATACCCGTTAGCAGCACGTAGCTTAGCTCTCGCCCGGATGCTCTCACTATAGGCGTGTCATTGTACCGTACAAATGTAGCCATGACAAAAATAGTAGCGATTATCCCCAGCATGGCGAGGAAGACGGGTATGATGGCCCAGGGAGAGTGCCATTCCAGTTTGATGATGGGAATAGCCTGACAGGCAGTCCGATTGGCATTGGGTCTCATGTTGTACACACAGAGGCGGCAGGAGGTCTCGTCAAACTGGTATTGGTAGCCGTCACACAGCTCACAGTGCCAACAGCAGGGTTTGCCCTTCACCTTCTTTTTCCTCTCTCCGGTCTTACAGGGCAGGCTGCACACAGAGAGGGGCACATCCAGGTCCCCATCGGGCCACTGCAGCTCCTCCACCTGAGAGAAAACAAGATACAGGATGAGATTTAGACAGAATGACACAGGTACTGATGCCATTCCTCAGTATTGAATATCTCTTACATTTACTGATTTTACAACATTTTGCCTGATGAAAGCCAAGGGCTGAAATGTTGTCACTTTCAGTGAATAAATCCCAGGCGCTACAAGAGAGACAGTGCAAGAGTTTTCTCTTTCCTAACATTTACTGATTAAAAAACACACGTTTTTAATAGCTTGTACTGTACTGTTAATAGTAGACAATGTTTCAAACAATATGCTTACAGTGAAGAAATATGTTGAATTTGTGAAAAGTTTAGCACAATGTATCACGGTGCAGTATTAAATGGTAAATTACAATAGTGAACTACTTAATTCAGCTGAAATTATGTGCTATTGTTGCAGATTAAAATCTGATAAATGTAAATTAAGGTATTATGCCACACTGGGGACATTTGTCTTGAGCAAAAATACATATATTGTTTTCTGTATTTTCTACTGTGGTAAAAGCAAGTACACAAATATTAAAAGACACAATATAGCTCCCTATCTATACATACCCCATAATCTATTATGTATCATATTGTCTGCCTCAATATTGTTTTGACCCAAAAAACAGCATTCCCCATATGCTTTGTGTAGTAATAACCACTTAAGTCTGAGAGCTACACTAATGTATCACCTGAACCACAGATACTCAAGTGTCTAAAAGTGGCACCATCCAATAAAAGCAGCTCCACAATCTCCCACACACACACACACACACACACACACACACACACACACACACATGCACACACACGCACACACACACACACAAGAGCACGCATACAGACACACGCACACACAAACACATACGCGTATCCCTGGTGTCTATCGTTAGCTTCGTGTGCACCTGTATGACAAATATGTTGTTTCTGTGCTGTCTGGCTCGATTATCATCTGCCATTTATCTGAGGGCATGAAGGTGCCATTTGTTATTTGGACAATGAACGGTGCTCACTGGAAGAGCTCCCGATTACACACAGAGAGGAAACAGTAATGAGACCATCGGCGGCGTCACCATGGAGACCGCAGCCACGATTTGACACCTCGGACTCAAACCAGCGCTGTACTTTTCATTTGTATTGAGATATAGTTCAGTCTGCTGTTAATCTCTATGCCTTTTAACATCATTACATAAACTTTGTTTTAGTCTGACCTTATATTTGTGTTTATTATGGTTTAAAAAAAAAAAAAAAAAAGAATTACTATGTAGCAATTCATAAATAGATAAGAATGGGATACTTCTAAACAATACATAACTTGTAGTAACTTGGTGACTATTTCATCAAAAAAGGTTGGGACAGTAATCTTTATACAATTTTAAAGTAATAAACTGTATTTTTACATTTTACCTAGGAAAATGACCTAGTCCCGAATGAAATCTTACTTTTTTGAGCTTTATAAAAACCCAGAATACATTTGAAAAAAAATAATAAAAAATGACAATTATAATAGAAAGAAAAGTGGATATAAAGAACTTATGGCTTTTGACAGGACTGGACTTGACTGACTGTTAATAGTTTGTTTGCCCAGTGTTGCGTGTGTGTGGCTTTGTGTGTGAGTGTATGGAGAGGGGTGAGTTGTGGGACCTTATTTTTTTTTGTATAATTTCAAAATAAAATAAAAAAACTAAAAAACTTATGGTTGTCAACCATCTGATGGAGCCATATTCATTTCTGTCATCTTTCATGTGAATGTAAATTACTTAAAATAATTACTTTAGTAAATGTTTCTAATTACTTTCCAAATCTATCTATTATGTAGCAGCATAATGTCATTCCCACCAGGACAGTGTTTGTAATCTGACTGCGCTCAGAACAGCAGCGGCAAACGATGCTCCACCTGGACCATCAAATCCATTTGTTTGACTTTAATTCTTAGGATCCAGAGAGCCATTATGCAAATGTTACCTCATCTCTATGTAAATGTCATGTTTTCTGTTATCCGACTTACATTTGTGCTGAATTTTTAGCTCTGCTCTCATCTTATTACAAGCACAGTTTCAATCCATGACCGGGACCCAAAATAAAATAAAACCCTCATCGCTTTCTTTATTGTCCGTATGAATCACCCACACCAATTCGTGTGTTGTGACAGCCAGATGTATTACAGCAGGTAGCAGCCACACCTCGAGCTTTAAGAGGAGCATCGCACAATGTCTGCAGCTCTTGGGTCCAAACACCAATATTACACTGTGTTTGTGCAATAAAATTATACTTTTATGATAGCTCCTAGAGATTGAACTATTCCTATACCTGATATTATCACTGAAGCATTTTGATATAGATGGCAAATAAGGGTTTTTGTGGTACATAATAATGCGTGTACATGTCCTATGGTGTTCTTCAGTGGAGGGATCACTTTCGGATTCAGAACAAAATAAAAACTCAAAAAGGTAGTATAGTAAGTAAGGTTAGGTACGTGTTTTGCCCCTTTGCCCATCTACAGCTGCTTTCACAGATCTATTTGAGCATAGAGGCGTTTCTGGCTCCATGGACTCTGGCTCCAGCTGATTTACATTGAAACATTGTCACCCCTCTCTCTGTAACTGCTGCAGTGAGCCTCACCATTTTGGCCGTAAAATTTTCATATTAACCAGCGGCACTGTCCTGCACCGGGTCGGGTACCAAATAGTTGCTGAAATGGGCGGGTTATAACATTCTGGAATTTTACAGGCAGGTATGCAGGTGGGTAGTGATTACACACGGACGGGTCTGGTGAATCAAGTGAATGACGAACGGGAGAAAAAATTCTTGATGTGCGTTCAGAGCGTTCATTACCCTAGAAATAAGGGCCATTTCCTGGTCTTTTCCTAGAACGATGGCAGACCAGGTTGAGAGAGTGACGTTAGTGTATTTATTACGTAAAACACATCAGTGAAGGTGACTGGGTCGGCAGCTGCACTCCTGGTTTAGTCCTGGTTTAGATCTGGTACAGTCCTCGTTTAGACCAGGTATAGTCCTGATTCAGTCCTGGTTCAGTCCTGGCGTAGTGCTGGTGATCGGCTCTGCGGTTTGTGTCGTGTATATCATGACATGGCGCAGGATTAGTCCTAGTTCAGTCCTGGTTTAGTCCTGCACTATTGGGCTGTTGGACTAATGGGCTGACCCTGATTTATCACGGGCATGTGCGGGTAACGAGTGAAATGTTAATGGGTACGGGCGGGTGCGTATTTAACTATGATATAATCTTGGGTTAACAGGTGGGTGTGGTGCTGTACTGTTCGGGTCTCCAAAAATGGACCCGTGCAGGACTCTGACCAGCGGTATATTATCTTGGTGTTTATTTCGCTATTTTGTCTGTCAAAATTCCCATTCCTGATATGGAACTTCTGCTTCAGATTCGCTCTATAACTACTAGCCTTGTGAGCTTCATTTGAATGGAGCCAAACGTCACACTCCCTCAGTTCACTTCTTTATGCAGTCTATGGGAGAAATCCACACATTCTGAACCTCAACTAAAAATCCAAGTACAAAATTGTCAATATTGTACCATGCATGTGTTTATAATCACTGTCCTATAGTGCTCAGCCAGTTTAAACGTCTTCACTTATTCAAGCTTCTGCAACTTGTCTGTTTTATTCACTCAAATAAACAGCTCCCTCCTGCACATGCGTCACCTGAACTTTTATGATAGATTTTGACTGGTCCACCCCTCAAAAATATGTACGCCATTATCCCTGCCTGTAACTCATCAACACTGAGGACAAACTGGTCACTTGATGTCCATTCATTCCACCCACTAACAGGTGTTATGATGAAGAGATAATCTGTCATTCAAACCACTCATAAAGCAATGTCTGTGTTTGGAAAATGGAATCTCTGTACTGTACAACCTGTAAGGGCTATTATCAGTATAACAAAACATTCCACAAAAAACACTAAGAACTGACAGACATTTAGTTTGGAATAATAGAATGAAATGTAAAATGCAATGGTCATAATTAACGGCCCATATTACGCTATTCTCTGATCTATATTATTATGTTATTTCCTCATCACAAACACACCTGGAGTTGTTCACACATTTTTAACACGTAAACCCTGCATATTTAGACTGAGTTCTCAAACAGAAAACACTGTTCCACTTTGTGATGTCATGTGGTAATACAGGAGGTGCTTCACTGTGTTTTAAACTCCATATATCTTCACTAAAATCATTTGGATAATTTCATTTCTACTGAACAAAAGGTAAAAGGAGCTGTTAACTTAAACTGCTGCTTCATGACATCACAAGGTGGAACAGAGCATTTTGAGCTTTTGTGATGTAGACAGACTAATAATGCAAAATTATTCGAACGTGTGAATAAAACAAAACACAACTCCGGCTATAATTTTGATGAAGTAACAACATTCTTGGCTTAAAGCTCACATGAGTTAATTTTGAATAATATAGGAAAGCTGTATAATATGATTTTGATTCATGCCATGTTTCAGCCACTATCAAGCAAAAGAAATTTCAGACTTGCTAAAATATCATTGCTAAATATTGAGAGGCCGGGCTATTGGTAGATTTCTGTCTGATTTGAAATGTGTTTGCGCTGATGGGAGATTGTATTTGCACACTGGAATTAAACTTATAACAGACCCACAAGATGAAACAATCCGTACCCCTACCATAATCCTAGCCACAGTTTCATATAGTAGACATCAAACACAGAGTGACACAATTTCATATTTGTTTCAAGACAATATTTGCTGAAACCTGGAAAGCAGTGCCGTGCGAAATCTATGAGAGCCAAGCTTTTAGGTGTCAGGTTTTGACAACATCTCACCACTGCCAAAGAGTGAACAGCCCATCCAGAGCCTGACACTTTGGTAAAAAAAAAAGTTCTTAATTTCACCTTTATCTTTGTGGATGGGAGGTCTGACGCAAGATGTAAGCGATCCTTGACAAGACTAGAACATAACTGTCTGTCTCCCACTCTCACTGAATTACTGCTTTTTACTGTACAATTCTTTGAGACATCACTTTTAAGCTATTCCTGAAGCCTTAAGTCATATCTGTTCTTATATTAAGCTTTACAAAGAACAAGTCACTTCAAATACATCTCTAGTATTCACTATAGTCTATCTACCAATTTACCCTATACAATATGTTGTTTTGTAAGGTGTTCAAAAGTATTTGACTGTTTACTGCACCTAGAGATTTGTTGGAAATGCACTAGTTTTCCCTGTCAAGAATAAAAATGTTTTTATTTTAAATAAAAGCTGCAAATTATGATTAACCTAAAATGGTTATGACTCAAGACATGAATAAATTTGTCTCTGACTGCTTACGACCAGAGGCAGCCCACCTGTGGTAGGCTACATGGAGCACAATTTGCGAAAAAATGTCTAAAAGTCCTATATTAAGTAAAATTGACTCTTTAAGCAATGCTAAAAATGTCAAAAACAGACCTGGAGTTGTGTTTTGTTTCATTCACACATGTTTAAGTAACCCTATATTATTAGTCGTTCTACATCTCCAAAGCTCAAAATGCTCATTTCCACCTTGTGATGTCATGAAACTGTAGTTTTCAAGTTAACAGCTCCTTTTACCTTTTGTTCAATAGAGATTTACAATTCCAGGGCTGAAATTATCCAAATGTTTCTAGTGAAGGTGTATGGAGTTTAAAAACACAGTGGAGTGTTTTCAGTTTAAGAGAAGAACTCAGCCTAATTATGCAGAGTTTGTGTGTTAAACAAGTGTAGATGAAACCAAACAAAACTATTGGCATGTTTTTTAATGAGGAAATAACATTATAACATAGGTCAGAAAATAGCGTAATATGGGCTCTTTAAAGAATCGTTAAAAATGTAGAATTTTAGACACGTGAGTTGTAAGAGTTTGGATAATTATTTATCCTTCAGCTAGTAAAAACCCTGGTGTAGGCATTACATCTTTACAAAATAAACGGAACAAAAACAAAATACCTATCCTGAAATCTACAGTGTTGCAATAATATTTTATGGATTTTTATGTCAAGCTAGTCTGTTTATCCAGGGGGTTTCAGAATAATGAAACATTAAGCTGGTGCTGTAGCAATTTACAATTTAAGAGTCTTAAAAACATTGCCTGCAACAGGGAGCTGAAACCCATGAATGATCTGACACAAGAGAGAGAGTTATTTGCATACTGTACATGAACACCTACCTTTAGCTGTAGCGTCTCCACCCACTGTCCCACCACCTTGTACTCTGGCCCGGACGAGTTGGTCATCTGGAACTGGAAAAGGTCATAGCGTCCTGGGGCGTCTCCGTTCTTGTTAAACACGACAGAGGTGTTTGCACTTCCTGTTACAGAAAGAGAGCGGGAGCAGACAGAGGCACATGTGTTAGATGGAGGTCCCTGCTCCTGGTTGCTAATATGAGGAAAACATAACCTTTGACCCCTGGCTGTGTGGAGCAGCCCACATGAACACAGGGGAGAGGTGCGTGTGTTCGCTCCTGTTAGCGCCTTCAAACAGCCTGACCTATAGCATGTACCTTTAGGACAGTTAGATACAAAACGAGAACTCCCCACTGGCCAATCTAACAGTGCCTCACCTGTTCTATATGGATAAGTATAGTAGCAACCAGACACATTTGCATTTTTTTTTTTTTTCCACTGAACTGCTTTATTAGGCAGGCTCTTCAATCTCCAAGATAATCACGCTCACATTTACATCTCACAAATCCAGTGAATTTAGTCACCTATATACAGTGTTAGACGTGTGTAAGGAGAGATCGTGACAGGCTTAGAGAATTAATAAGAGAAACATGAATAATGGCCCATTTAAATTCTTAGCAAAACCATATCTACACTTTACATAGAAAAGCTGCAAGAAAAAAAAAAGTGTGTTAATAACTTATGTCAGCTACATGTTTAAAATCATTGCCATAACATCCACTACTGGGAATAATACAATATTGTTTTATTTAATTATTTAAGATGGAAAGTCCTGCTGAGATTTGGAATCTCATTATAACCGTTACCACTGCTTAGTGCTACTTACAATGCAAAACTATTTCTAATACTACAAAATGACTCATATTGCTGTTAGTAGAATGCTATGCCTCAAAACTTAAACGTAAAAGCTAGAAATTTGTCCTTGGCTTGTCACAATCAATATCCATGGAATATAAAGATCGATGCATAAATGAATACGAAAGCAGACAAGTCCAAGAAAAGTGATTTCACTGATGTCTTATTAGATGCAGGGGAGCACCTTTTAAACAGTGAGTGAGTGTATGCCTCAGTGTTTCCCATTAATAGCAGAGACTATGGTGACTCCCCATAGTCTAATATTCACCCCCACAGTCTAAAAACCAGATGAGCAAACAAATGGTAAAATAAATTATACTTTAGGCTGGCAGTGTTATCATAAACATATAAATAAATAAATAAATATATATACACTCATACATACATGTATATATATATATATATATATATATATATATATATATATATATATATATATATATATATATATATATATATATATATATATATATATATTTATCTACAGCCATGCTTTTTTCTTCAGTAGAGGCAATAGCTGTCATTTATATGCCAAAATATTGTATTCAATAAAATTATTTAAATATGGATCGCTTACGCCACCATAGTTTTAGTATAAATAATACAAAAATTTACACCCCCGCACATGCTTTGAGGTTCAAGGGCCAGCTGATGTATTTACTCTAGTGTAAACATTTTATTTAACTTAACTGATCTCCATGGAAACAAGCAGGGCACATCACAAGGACAAGTTACATGTTAGATCTGTGAAGAAGTGGGCCCGTTCACAGTAATAACAAGTGTTTTTACTGTAGTTGTAAGAAATTAGAACATGTGTAATGAAATAGACACAAGATATATTCATTCAATTCTGTACTGTGGAAAATCCCAGGTTATGCAACAACATCTTCATGAGACAAGCTGATGGCAGACCCTCCTTCAGAAAAGTTGCACATTGCACCTTTAATGAGGACTCATGAAGTTAAATAGGGCTTTATCTTATCTTCCCTTTGTATTTTTAAAATCTGTATTGTGCAGATAGGAAACAGGTTTTTGTTCATGAAATATGCTACATAAAAAGTGAAAAGTATTGGACTGGATGAACCTATGGGAAACACTGTGCCTTCTGCATCATTAGGCATACACATCTCTTTATAATAAATGTATTCGTGGACAACAACAGGAGACATAAGGAGTATAAACAGGTCAGCCAAAGCGTCATACAGGCCCCATCTGTTCACCGCATGGAGCAACCTGTCTCAAGCCGAGCACCGAGGACGCCACTAATTAGAAGAAAGACACCTGAAATAATCGTTTTTCTTTTCTAACACGTAAAGGTCTGGTGCAAGTCTCTTAATAATACAACAAAGGCTGAATGTAGGAAGTGCAAATCCAAATGTCACTCAACACGAGGCGTGTTTCAGAGCAGAGTATGAATGAATGCGCTAATGGGAAAAGTGGTTGTGCTTTAGTTTATAAATGAACTCTGCGTCTCTGAGGAGGTCATGTCTGTCATGCACAATGCAAGAACACAATGGAAAAAACCTGTTTAGTTATGGCATGCCTAATAGATCTACACATGTGAAGCCAAGGTTTTTGAAATAACTGTTTCTGCAAAGGACAGTTATAGAAAGACACTAGCTAGTGTTACCTTGCTCCCAGGCAAATAATAACCCAAAAACTACCTAGGCCTAATTACTGCAATTCATCAATTCATCAGTCTTCAGTAATCAGTAACAACAGGTAAAAAATGCATGGTGTAACGGTGCAATGGTGCATTTATTTATTTATTGTTTATATGAATAGGGGCAGATACAACAAACATAGATTAACAATTCAGTAATCTGATGCAGGTATCACAGTGTAAATAGCCTTGGCTATTTCGCAACACCAGTCCCCAGAAGGGCTCTGAAAGTGTTCACTAAAAGAAGTAGGATTATTGGTAGAAAAAGCAATAAATACAGTGAAATTGAAGAAGAATCAAATATCAAAATATCACACACACACTATGTAACCTTTCTGGTGCAAGGTCTGCCACTTTCTATTTTCAAGAGAAAGTTCCACAGGATGGCATTATGCATTAGTTGTTTTCATACCATAAATTCAATTCTTAGTGTGAGTGAATTTCACCTCTCTACCGCTCCAATTTGTAACTTGGTCTGGTGGTGGCGTCCCCTGTTCATGGAGATATGTAATTCTATTATGTTGAGCATTTCAGACAAAGCAATAACATCTCCATGAAGACAAGCATACTGCGTACCTTCCACCAAGATCCATAGTACAACTTTAACTGTGTGGTCAAACCAACAAAACTAAATAAACGGTGCATACTCCTCCAACTTAAAAGGACAGATGATTGACCCCTACTAGAATATTTCATTAAACATACATCAACAGAAATATGTACATTATTAAGTGTAAGAGATGGAAGTAGCACTCCTGAAATAGGACAGGGGTGTGTATTGGGGAGCGTGGGGGGTAGATGGCACGAGCAGGGGAATTAAACGCACTATTAGCTTGGGCTATAAAAAGTGCAGCTCAGAGACCAGGAGTAGAGGCATGTGTTCTTTTCTCACTTTTGGGAACACGTTGTGTTTTTGCATTTGGAACAAAACCTGTGGCTTTTGGCTTCAAGGCCGCGGGACCTTTTCCATTTAAAGGCAGAGGGGAATTTGATCTCTCTCCAGTTTCTGTCCAAGGACATTTGTCATCCAACAGTGTTCAAAAAAGTTTTAGGCCAAGGACTCAGGTAAACAATGAGAGAGGAAAAAAGTAAAATTAGCTTCAAACAATACTTGCACTAGTCACTATGTCATAAGGATTAATACACTGTTTTTATGTTTAGTATTGATCCCTGCTTCCACCAGTTTATTCTGTTGTTGTGCGCTTTAGCAAGACATCCAATTCACATTAAGGCCAGAGTTTGTGTACACTGGTGAATGTTTCCCTGATAAAAAGCACTTTGATGGGGAACTTGGGGTAAAGCTCTATATATCTGTGACCATTTATTGAACGTTAATTACAAATCTACTTTTTACACTTCAACAGAAAATCATCAGTATTTGCAAATGGATTTATAATATAGAAGGTTTATTCTGACCCTCACAATTTACTCACAATATACTTTAAATGTGCAGTTAACACATACATTGAAAGTCATTACAAATAAAAATGTGGTATGGTAGTATATTTTAGAGAGAACTCTATCTGACAAACTGAAATGAAACATCAGTTTGGTTATAGATATATCTTTTTTGACTTTGTGACACCATTGTACTGTATAGATATCTGCTCATGAGATTTTAAATGGCCATTTGTACTGTTCCGCTGTCACCTGCTGCTACAACTAGGGATGGGCATTCAATTAAATTTTCTTGATCGTCAGGAGAATTAACAAACGACTTCCAATTAATCATTTACATTTTTATTAAAATGTATTCTATTAAAATTATCATCATTATCAGTATAAATAAACTAAACTTTACAGCATATAAACCATAATCACTACAGAGCTACATCAGCCTGTTTGAGATTATAATGTGTTTAATGCAGCTTTGCGCACATTTATTTACGTCTTACAGAAACAGAAATCACATGGCTAATTTGCATAAACTATAAACACTGGAAAAAACAGCTCGCTCCTTGTGCCCTGATGCGGTCAGCTTCTGTCGAACTAAAGGACATGACTCAGTGGATTATGAGTGTTCTTTCTGTGACAGAGGGATGTTGATGAGTCTGTTCTGTGTGTATATCACGTTGGAGATGGTTCATGTTTTCAGAGATCATAAGTGTGCAGGTTTAGCACAGTTCTTTATTTAACAGTCATTTCACTCACTTTATTTATGTTGGTGACGAAACCAGGATATTCAAAAAATCCGATCATACCCGGGATACTGATGTGCATGTACCCGCACTCACTGAGTGGTATAGTGATTTCCAAGGAGGTGTGTCAGAGCCGAAACGTGGGACTGTGAGGCTGCAACTCCAGTGTTTGTGCTTTCAGACGCAGCCTTGTCTCCTTACGTGACACAGCTACATTCGGTTTGTCGATTAAAAATTAACGTAATCGACAAAATTCTTAATGATCAATTATCGATAAGTCAACCAGTAATAGGTCGAGGTCCCAGAATGCCACATCCATAGACTGAAAAGACGCGAACTAAGGGAGTCAAATGAAGCTCACGAGGCTAGCAGTGATGGGGCGAATTTGGGGCTTCATATTAAAACGATGAGGCTCACTACAGCAGTTACAGAGAGAGGGGTAACAATTTTTCAATGTATAATCAATTGG